TATGACGTTATCCCAAGATCTATGCAGTTTTTCATGTTGAGATTTGGTATTTGAGGTGCCAATAATACGACAGGAATATATCGAAGATGTGAAATCTCACGAAGAGGCTCGACAATAGACAAATCATCCACGATAACTGTATCAAACAATGGTGCATCATTATTACGAGAACTTGCTATATTAGCTGCTTCCTCAACGGAACTGGCCAATTTTGGTCGCAACTTCAAATCTTCGAGGGACTTTGCTACTCCGGTCGTGTCATGCAAAGTATCGATAAACAAAATGTGTCGCCCGTGCCATGGACTCATCTTCTGTTCAACCAGTTCAGGTGACATAGTTCCCAACTTCACTTTTACGGTAAAGAAGAACTGCGATCCACGCTCGTAAACACTCTTCACCCACAAATTACCGCCCATGAGGGATACCAATCGTTTTGAAATTGAAAGTCCCAGTCCAGTTCCACCATATTTTCTTGTTGTTGAACCGTCAGCCTGACAGAAGGTGTCAAATATCATGTCCAGTTTATCTTCTTGAATACCAATGCCTGAATCGGAAACACAAAATTCCAATGTGACTTGATTGTTATTGATTTCCCTAGTGTGAACGGAAAGGACAACAACACCCTCGGTCGTAAATTTGATGGCATTTCCAATAAGGTTCGTGATGACCTGACGCATTCTGAGAGGATCTCCGATTAGTTGATCTGGAATGTTATTATCTACTTCGTATATTAGATCCAATTTCTTCTGATTTGCCTTTACTGCCAGCGTTTTTAATACGCCAAAGACCGCGGGGCGAAGCGAAAACGTAATCTGTTCAATAGTCATGCGTCCGGCTTCAACTGTAGAATGTAAGCGGTTGTATTATTAGCAAAATGTTCGCAAAAAGCATTAAAATGCCAAATAAACAATAGTCATTATACATACTCTTGGAAATATCCAGGATGTCATCGATAATAGTTAATAGAGAGTTGGCCAATGAACTTACAATCATCAAGTTTTCACGCTGCTGTCGAGTCAATTCAGTTTCCAAAGTCAGGGTGGTCATACCAATAATACCGTTCATAGGTGTACGAATCTCATGAGACATGTTGGCCAAGAATTCACTCTTACTCCTGTTTGCAAGTTCAGCAGCTTCTCTGGCGGCTGTGTTCTTTTGAATACTATCACGCAGATTTAATACCATCTGATTGATTTTTGTTTTTAACGAATCCATTTCGCCTGATGCGTCAACAGTAATGAATTGTGAAAAATCGCCATCAGTCGCAGCAGCCGAGATTTGGGCAAATGCGCGCACTTGCGATGTAAGATTGGCAGCCATCGTGTTTACATTGGACGTGATTTCTTTCCAAGTACCGTCAACACCTTCGACTTCAGCTTGGACACCCAATTTGCCTTCTGTACCCACTTCACGAGCCACGCGAGTTACTTCAGCCGCGAATGTTGATAACTAGAAATTTACATGTGCGGAAATGACAGAGAACAACGATTGAATGAGAAAACGCGGACGAGTCGTGACATTATATGCACTCTGCAAATTTACAAAACAAAAAGTTCGACCCTGCGAATCTTAATTTACCTGATCCACCATAGTGTTAATCGTATTCTTCAACTCCAAAACTTCACCCCTGACATCTACTGTAATCTTTTTGCTTAGATCACCGCGAGCTACGGCTTTCGAGACATTAGCGATATCACGCACTTGTGCGGTGAGATTAGCGGCCATCGTGTTGACATTATCAGTCAGAATCTTCCATGTACCATCGACATCCTTAACCACAGCTTGACCTCCTAGTTTGCCCTCAGTACCCACCTCGCGAGCTACACGAGTTACTTCAGCTGCAAACATACGTAATTGGTCCACCATAGAGTTTACCGTGCTCTTTAATTCTAATATTTCACCTCTGACATCAACAATAATCTTTTTACTAAGATCGCCGCAAGCTACGGCTGTTGTGACCTCGGCAATGGATCGTACTTGCGTGGTAAGATTGGCAGCCATTATGTTGACATTGTCTGTCAAGATTTTCCAAGTACCCTCGACGTCCTTTACAACGGCTTGACCACCGAGTTTGCCCTCTGTACCGACTTCCAATGATACACGAGTTACTTCAGTAGCGAATGTCTGCAACTGATCCACCATAGTATTGATAGTGTTTTTCAATTCCAATACTTCTCCCCTAACGTCTACTGTAATCTTCTTGCTTAAATCTCCGCATGCTACGGCCTTTGATACACTAGCAATGTCACGTACTTGAGCAGTAAGGTTCGACGCCATAGTATTCACATTGTCCGTGAGTTCCTTCCATGTGCCACCAACATCTTTAACATGTGCCTGCACACCAAGAATACCTTCCGTACCCACCTCGCGAGCTACACGAGTTACTTCAGCTGCAAACATACGTAATTGGTCCACCATAGAGTTTACCGTGCTCTTTAATTCTAATATTTCACCTCTGACATCGACAGTAATCTTTTTACTAAGATCGCCGCAAGCTACAGCTGTTGTGACCTCGGCAATGGATCGTACTTGCGTGGTAAGATTGGCAGCCATTATATTGACATTGTCTGTCAAGATTTTCCAAGTACCCTCGACGTCCTTTACAACGGCTTGACCACCTAATTTGCCTTCTGTACCGACTTCCAATGATACACGAGTTACTTCAGTAGCAAACGTCTGCAACTGGTCCACCATAGTATTGATAGTGTTTTTCAGTTCCAAAATTTCTCCTCGAACATCTACTGTAATTTTCTTACTTAGATCACCACGAGCTACGGCTTTTGACACGTTCGCGATATCACGTACTTGGGCTGTGAGATTGGCAGCCATTGTGTTGACGTTATCTGTGAGAATTTTCCATGTACCATCGACACCTTGCACTTCCGCCTGACCTCCCAGTCTACCCTCGGTGCCCACTTCACGTGCGACACGTGTTACCTCCGCAGCAAACAAACGTAATTGTTCCACCTGTTACACACGTAAACATTACGTATTAGAAACAAATATATCTTGGAATGTAAAAAAAAAATAAAATTTTGACACAGAAAAAACTGTTGACATACCATAGTATTTATCGTCACTTTTAGCTCTAATATTTCTCCCTGTACAGGTACGGTAACTTTTCTTGACAAATCACCACAGGCCACGGCTTTACATACAGTAGCAATATCACGCACTTGACCGGTAAGATTAGATGCCATAAGATTTACATTGTCTGTGAGGTCTTTCCATATGCCGCCAAGATCCTTTATATTAGCTTGTCCACCCAATTTTCCTTCCGTGCCTACTTCGACAGATACACGAGTCACTTCTGTAGCAAAAGTTTGAAGCTACAGGGAGGTAACAACAACGTCCCCGTTAATAATTCCATACATACATACTATCTTTTTGCTGTTGCAAAACAAAAACGTAGATTCGAAATTCTTACCTGATCAACCATAGTATTAATCGTATTCTTCAACTCTAAAATTTCTCCTTTCACGTCTACTGTAATCTTTTTGCTTAGGTCACCGCGAGCTACAGCTTTTGAGACATTAGCAATATCACGCACTTGTGCAGTAAGGTTAGCGGCCATCGTATTGACGTTATCAGTAAGAATTTTCCAAGTGCCATCCACGCCTTGGACTTGTGCTTGCACGCCCAGTTTACCCTCTGTACCGACATCATGTGCGACACGTGTTACTTCGGATGCGAACGAATTCAATTGGTCAACTACAGATATAGAGATTTGAATATAGGTTTTAGGTAAGTAAGTAAATAACCAGTGCCGAGCAATATAAATAAAACAGCAAGCAAGCAAGTAAGCAACCCCCATTTTCTAGGAAAGAAAAGCGTTACCCATAGTGTTTATCGTATTTTTCAGAACCAGAGTTTCACCCTTGACTTCAACCGTGATCTTTTTGCTCAAATCACCACGCGCTACCGAGGTACAAACTTCAGCAATGTCTCTGACTTGCTTGGAGTGATTACTAGTGACCAAATTTAAATTAACCACAAACTCCTTCCAAGCTCCGTCCAAGTCTTGGTTTTGTGCCTTGACACCCAATTTTCCTTCATCACCAACTTCGCGAGCAACATGAATGAGTTCGAGAAAGAGACCGTCAATAGTATCAGCCATGGTGTTGATTGCATTCTTAAGAGTCAACATTTGACCCGAGGCGTATGGACATGTGATGCGACGCTTAAAGTCGCCTGCTGTTACGGCTAATGCTACTTCTACGCTCTGTTGCAGACAAACCGGGCAGACGCGTTCATCATGAAAGACGGGATGTTTTTGTCCAGTGAATAGGTTAGAAGGATAAGCCGGTGCGCTTAGATGATGTGTTTTTGATATATCTAAGCCAGCGTCACCCGCACTGGCAATAATTGTATTATCAGTTTGTAAATTTGATAATCGTGCGCTAGAATAGTCGGTAGAATCGATTGATGTTATACTAGGAGATGAGGCTGAACTAAGAGGGTCGGTATCACTTGAGTTATCGGTTGTTATGCCATCTCTGGGATTAATGATTATTACAGAATCGGTTTCACTGAGTAGTGCTTGATACTTGGCTGCCTCTTTTTCGAGATATAATTGGCGGTCAACGAGTTGTTTTATTGCAGCTTCGAATTCTTTGTACTGTTCAACATTATTATCCGGATAGGAGAGGTTTTGGCAGTAATTTAGGTTGCCCGCATTGATGTTTTTTATGACATCGGTCACGTATCCCAATACCTCCGTCATGTATTGGATTGATCTGTGATAGGAAGGATCGTATGAGACAGTTGTCGAGCCAGTGAGGATGAATTAGGGTGTGCTATATAGTAGGAACTATAGTGGAAACTGTCGGTTAGTTACGAGAAGGGGGAACTGTTGTCGAGAGTTAATGCGACTACTAAACCGGGATATATAAATGATGTGCCCTGGTCACATACTTAATGGAGCAATTATAGTAGCTCTTAAACAGGTATAGTTAAAAATCAGGTATGAAACTAGGTGTGAGTTTGTAGTCTACCGTTTGGTTGAATGAAACACAATTGTGATTTCACCTCGCAAACTTTTCCGACCAGTCTGGCTTCATGTACTATTTATTCATAATACAATTTGCCTGGGGGGAAAGAAGGACGACAAAAATCCTACTTTACTATTCTTTTCTCTCTCTTCTTTTCTTACCCTTTTCTTTGTAGACAAATAAATAAGTATATGTATATTTAAATGGTTAATTACCTTTTGTTATGAAGGAACGGCGTTGAATATGGTCTGTATCAATTAGTGGTTATTAAGATGGCTTTCTTAAATAAATGGAGTTGTTGAATATTTTGCAGGTTAAAAAGAAACCTTTTTACTGATGGGAAAAGCTTGTTGTGTCGAGTATAAGGGGGGATGGGACAAGTCAGTGACACTGTGTGATGGACATTGTGTAATAATTGATTGTTATGATATTAATTACTTCACGCACTGGGTATAATTCGAGCAGATTGTTATACTTACTAAAACGAATGCGGATGAAAAGGCGTACAATTGAATTTGTATAAAAAAGAATTAAAGAATACAGCTTACTACGGAACTAAATAAGCGTACCGCTGAGCATTCAAAAAGCATGTTTATGTGCTATAGGCTCCTTTCATCCAGCCACATATGCCCAACACAATGGTACTTTCAGTCTACTCGCCGATTCTCGTCCCCTTTTTTTCACACACCCCTACCTATCGATATGTTTCTCATTGGCGAGTCATGAACTTGATTTTTCTTAGTTCTGAGTGATTACTGCGAATGCGTGATACAAATATGTGCAATAAATAATCGTCCAAACAATGTTTATAATTGTTCTGTAAATTTCGGTTATGAGAGTAGAACATTTGGAGAGTGATCGTCGCCGGCTAAATAATCGATTTGGCGAGAATGTTGTGGAGTATTTTAGTGTTTTTAGTGCCGTTCTTTAATCACGCTGTACAATTTTGTCACAAGTATGGACCAATAATGACTTTTATGTGTAGTTTATGTTATCCAATGTTTGCTTATTCATCACCGATTGACGTCATAATGTGAACGATGCCGAGTTGTATGAGTTCCTTATTTAGGCATTTGAATGACACAATATAAAAAAATGCCAATCCACGTTCTACCAGGTGGCACAGTAACGATCGCAAGTGTAGGCTACTAAATTGTATTTATTTGTTCGGACTTGTTGATCCATCACGCCACTCATTGACACTAGGTTACATACGTTACATACGTTACATGCGTTACATTCCAATGTCTCGTAGAGTTTTCGTAATATTTCTCGTTATAGCCTTTCTATCTAGCTTTTTTGACATCTAGTTCTTTGACGTCTTTTCGCAATGTAGACGTTACCTATCTTGCCGATTGGGAGAAGGATTCCTTGTTATTTATTCTTTCGATTTCCTCGTTTACGCATGTTCGACTGGATTTTGATCAGGCCTTTGTGCTCTGCGGGATATTCTCCGCCATGCTGGATGATGCAATAAAATAGCGTATTGGAACATCCATGTTTGGTGAGGAGCTTTAACGATTCCGTGTATTGGCGAGGTCCTCCCTGTAGCACTTTCCCCAAGATTGGCTACCTTTCCCATGTGAAACAAACCCCTTCCCTGTTACTCCCCCCCCCCACCACCTCCCACCTCTCCCCCACACCACACCCACTATAATATTGGGAAGAGGGTAATATTGCAGCTGTTGCCACTGTTTGACGTTGAACAATCGACTTTTGGATTTCTTTATCTCAAGATCTCGAATTTCGATTCATGACTACCTATTGTGTTGCTTCGCCTCATTTGACAGTTGTCACATCTTTTCCGAGACACAAAGTTTGAATGTGCATGCGGCGTGATCAAAAAGTACAAACGTCTTCTGCTACCTTTTTCGACCTTGCTTGCTACTCATCTCTAGTTTTCGCAACCCTCAGTGATCGACAACTCGTTATTTGGCATATGAATAAAAAAAATGAAACAGACGGCTGAAGGATAAAAACATTTCCCTCCCATTATGACAAACATGCTTACCCACAAGTGTCCGGTGATCGACATCCGATAATGAAACAATCAATGGAGCTTATTCACGAAAGCGGATGAAGACTATAACCAAACAGGTTATAAATATCATTTAAACGTGTTTACGATGTTGATTAATAATTGGCTCTAAAATAACTGACCCTCTATTGATTATACGTCACATGATTTTTATTTTTAAATATCTAAATTAAGAAAAAGTATATCTATAGTGTAAAAACTTTCTATCAAAGAAGGTTATAGAACCTCGAGTTGGAATTATCCTACTGGTGATGTGATGATACATTTAGAGTGTGTGCTGTGCAATCTGCTATAGTTACACGATTTGGATCTGGAACGCCAGCGAGTTAATTCTGTGACTAAGGCTATAGTCATACAAATAATTCACTTTAAGGAAAAACAAACCAGAAACCAATGAACACGCTCAAATAGAGTCTTAACTTTTTTGACCAAAGATATTTTTGGCTTGGAATTTAAATCAGAAAGTGTCATAGTGGAAAATGTAGCAGCCTATTCGAGCAAACTTTTTTAAAGCACGTAAGCATTCCATTCCATTCCTTCGTCAAAGGGATTATTACTTCTTGGGCTCCCGATCTCGATCAAGTTTTATTGTCAGTGGTCACGATTAGATAAACTTGTCTAACGTAAGAGTAGCTGCATTACGAAATTGAACCGTCATATTCACAATTATCACATCCTTTTATGTAAATTCTCTGGGTCTCGTTTTACGGAAAAAAAAACGCCTACATGCTTGAATGAACTTTATCACATGACTATTTTAAGGCGGCGGTGATCATTACATTTTACATTTGCGCTTAACCAAATACGGTATATTAATGTCACGTTTCGAACATTCTCAAAAGAGGGTTGGGATACGTGTCCCCGTGAGACATTTGTAAATGAAAAAGTGATGAATGTTATGCAACACTGGTGAGGATGGGGAAACGATTTTGGCTAACATGCAAGGACAACATGCAAGGACAACATGCAAGGACAACATGCGAGGACCCCAAATTTGCAAATGAGAAAGCAACCGTGTCATGAATACCATCCCGAATGTTATATTGTGAAATTTTAATGCTGAAGTACGAGATCTTTAAAGGATTCGCCTTCATCGCTCAATAGCTTGACGGGTTTAATGAGAGATCTTGCAAAGCAAAAATTAGATTTAGCAAAAGCACAGTTGATTGTCATGAATACTCATATTGTTAACTGATAATATGCAGTTGTTGTGATTGGAAAACTATGTGAAGTAGGGGCTTTTGAAACAATAATTGGAAATTCATACTAGTAGGACAATTAGAGACTGGGGATATCACAATTTTACGGCAACGTAAAAAGAATGTTTTGGAAAGCAGGCCATGTGATGGGTAACCAAATTGCTCTTATTGTGATGAGATGTTTGCCAAGTTATGACATAACGTCTCAATTTTAATATGCGAGTCAATAATTCCTTCCCGACACTTTATAAACTAGTCTAAATTAGTCAATTTGTGTTGGGTAAACTCAACGATAAATTTAGATATGTTGTACGACCATAAACATGACTGTAAAGATTTATCATCTCATTTCGCATTATATTATTTACTGTTATGATGCTTGAACGAAAAATTGTAGGAAACTGCACAACTGATTGCATAACCGATGTCACATCCATGTTTCGAAGAATACCATTTAGCACAGATTAATTGCAATGAACATTAAACTTCGTTTGGAGACTTTATGATCTTGTCGTTGCCGAGTTGATCGACAACCTTGTGCATTGATAACAAGCATGATTGCGTCATACTAATCTAATCTGCAGATGCTTCAATTTATTGGACCCACAAGAATTTTGTAGTCTCGTGACTTTAACAGGGGTTTTTGCGGTAATCACATGAACTCACATGCGTGACTCTCACTCGTGAATAAAAAAATGCCTGGCGATGTACCCGAATTTAGCAATTAGAAAAGGTGGAGATTTCACGGTTTCTTGCGGTAACACATGGGACAAGTGAATAAGAAGAATGGTCTGAGTAAAACGCGTACAATCAACTATATGATACATGTGAGAGTTTATACTTTCGGTGAATAAGGTTGGTTGTGCCTATCTCATTGTATCAATGACCAGTCCCAAATTTTAGTTCTTATTATTTCTCACCCCCTAAAGCAAATATTCTTAATTTAAGCGATTGTCCGGCAGAAATATTCGATTTGAGCCTAAGTTCAGCGACCTTTTTATAGACGTGTGACGCTGTGGAGTGTACAATAACAAGTTATACGGTGAACCCTCTATTCAAGCACACCCTCGGGAATGCATCAGAGCGTGCTTGAATAGAGGGATGCATGAATAGAGGGTCAACATTTTATTGGTTACACGTGACCAGTTAAAATTTTTATTTAGTTCATATATAAATATTATTACGGCTGATTAAAAAACTCATCTATTGTCGTTTGTTTCATCACAGTTATTGATTTTAAACTAATGTAATGATCTAGTGCATTAATATGTTTTAATAATTCTTTAGAATCTTCCTGCTGTTGCAGAAATGAACGAACAACCTCCAAACTGTTCGCAGCATCGCTACAATTTACAATCGGTAATTCAACACTATCATCAGCTTCACTATCATTAGCTTCACTGTCATCGACAACATGCACATCTGATGATTCTCTGTATATTTCAATAAGATATTCAATAAATTTGTCATTATCAGGTACTTCGTAAACTCCGTCTTCTTCTGGATTATTCAAGAATTCGTTAATACTCATACTATCAGTTAAGTTAAGGTCTGTAACTATTTGTGCAAGTTCACTAAGTGCTGGTGAACTGTTGCAAGGAAGCTCACTTGGCTGTAACGATTTCAGTTAATTCAGGTATTTGCATTAACAACAACGAAGATAACTTATATATTAACAAAGACGTGTTTCTTTATTTTCATCCATACGTAAAGATAAGGCATATTAATATGTAACACGTATTACAGTATTAGTAAAAGATCCGCTGCATTGTCTTTGTATATACTGATCGTCATAACTTTGACCATTTCAAACATCATGTAACATAAATTGTTGTACAGATCACATGAAAATCACGGGCGTGCATGTATAGAGGGTGAAACTCATATAGTGGGAATCGAAAAAAGCCGTGCAATGCAGAATATGGAGGGTGTGCATCAATTACTAATTCCCGAACTTGGGAATAAGCCATGGTGTGCATGTATGGAGGGTGTGCATATATGGAGGGTGCTTGAATGGAGAGTTCACTGTACTCACCTTCATATTCGGTCAGAATTGGTATCAAACATTTTATATCAATAACTGTTATCTATGATTATTGGAAAGAATAAATTATTACAAAGCTCATACCTTTTCGTCTTCAACTGACCGAGGAATGTACTTTATATGTCAATCGATATTAATTTCTTGCAAAAAAATGCGTCATCGATTGTTTATTTGGCGAAGTTTGTTAATGTCCATTCATCACTTTAATATAACAAGTGCTTTTGATAAAGCATTTTCTATACCTTTTTCTATTTATCATGACTTTTTGCATTTAGCAAAACTATACTAATACACAGTACTCGTATTGAAGTTATTTTCCTTAGCATTAGTGAATCCAAAGTCAAAATTTGCACAAAATCCGAAAGAAATGAAAACTTTATAAAATCATTGGAGATAAAAACATTTTCCGCTCACGAGCATTCGCCCTTGAAGGAGTTTCAAGTCTCGGACTTATTCCTCTCAGGATTGAATCATTGAAGCTTATGGAAAACGCGCTGACGTTGAAAATAATGGGGTTGAAGCAAATGAAGAGACATTTTGCCGAAAAAATTTTCAGGAGGTAAAACAGATGAAGGAATGATAATGATATAACTATCAGTCATGCAATCTCGCTCAAAAAATTGCGAATGTGAACCAAAACTTCTCTTTTTATGTAATAAATCGAATACAGAGAATAATAACAGGCAGATGAATCACATTTAGAAGCTACAAATCAAGAGCTGAAGGTATGAGTCTATATTCAGCAGTCATTGAGCAAAAATAATTCTTTTGCGCAGTAAAATGTCGGGGCCGTCTTGAAAGATATACTATATCTTAAAAAACATCTCACTCACCCTTCAACTTTCCGAACAGTTATAATAACTAATAAAGGCTCCGAGTATGTGAGTAAATTTTATGCCAAATATAAAATAAACGCGGTTTGCATTGTTGAAAGAATAAACAATAGACTGAACGGTTATAATATTAATTTTATCTAATACTAATACAGAATGCTTTGTTACCTAATCAAGAGCGTGAGTAAAACATCTACTAATTAGTACTTGATTGAGATGAAGAAATATGTGTTTGCAAGCTTCGCAAATTGGTTACATGTGGTTGTGATGAATTTCGTTGAATAGTGTGAGATATTTGCTGTAAAGTTGGAAGGAAGTATGGCGACGTGCACGTCACAGAATTGCTAAGAGAGTTAGTTTTATGTTCGGCTGAATAATTGATATGATTCAACATGCCCACATTTCAATTGGAATATCACGATATAGGCTCATTACAAGTACTAGAAAGTTCTAATAGTAAAAATTGTTTGAATATAATTATAAATCCCTCGATATTGGATATACTCTTCACTTTGTCAACCTAGAAAATATTGACTCGAACAACGTCGCCGGATCAATTGTTACTAGTTTAGAGGCTTAGTTGAAATTGATAGCGGTTTGGCATATATCGCACAGAAAATCTTTGAGTAGAACTGTATGCTGGACTGTACGTGTACAATAAAGATATGAAAAAACCTCTTAATACGTACGTATATGAAAACTCGGACATACCGAACTCCTCGATATAACGAATGACCAATGTACACCCTATCGAGTTAGGAATTTTATGGGTGATTACCAGCATCGTAAAATTAGTATTAAGCTTGCATTTGCGTTATCACCTCGAATGGGCAACGAAATTATGTTTAATTTGTGATTTTGTCGTCGGAACACATTTTCGCATCATAATCAGAGACAGGGAACTTTGCAAGTCGAGTGACGACGAATTCGCATCATTATTCAAACCATTTGTTCCATGGCGAGATGTTTTTTCCGAAACACAATACTCTTTAATGTGACAGGAACGAGTAGATTTGCCACAATCAGAGCGAGACCCATGTTCTAGACTTTTACCATAAAAAGCAGGACGCGTAAAGCAAAAGCATCTCGTGTAAGGTAAAGTTTAATTTAAATATTTTTATATACTAATATTGCTTATAATAAACAACCCAATTCGAGTCAGCATCAGCTGATGGAACAGCAAGACAGATTAGACACATTCATACGTAGGTTACCTGAAAAAACGCTACAACGAAAATGGGATCGTGTTCGATATGTAGCAAAACAACGCGCAATGATTGGTATACAGTGATAACAAAAGAGACGGTGCAGACATATTAAGTAATAGTAGCGTTCTCAAGCTCATCATACTCGAAAAAATAGAAATCGTGTGCTTTTTCACAAGATATTAGCATCAAGAACACGTCACCGAAGATAAGTTTCACACGGCGAACCCAAAGAATCTCGGTTCTTTATTAACGTTGACATTAACACAATAGAGACAGGGAGTGGGAATTTCAATTTTATGATGCGCGATAAACTTTTATTTCACAAAAAACATTGACATCATTATCACTCGGTTTCCAATTGTTCTGTCACAAATGCCAAACTTCTTTTCACATGGCCATCGATATCAGTCTGGGAATTGAACACTTGACGTATGATTCCTTCCTTGTCTATGAGATAAGTGGTACGTCCTGCGATCATTCCGAATAAACTCTTGGGTACTTGGAACGCTTTTCTCGCAGCTCCGTCGACATCAGAAAGAAGGGGAAAATTTAGCCGATATGTGTCGGAAAATCTCTTATGACTTGAGATAGGATCGCCTGATATGCCAACTACTACTGCCCCAGCTTCGCTGAATACGTTGTAAGAATCGCGGAACGAACAGACCTATGTAGAATGCAAAAGACAGCCTAAACAAAGAGGACATTTCATTTGTGGAGAAGGGACATGCGAAATGCTAAAATACCTCCTTGGTACAGCCAGATGTTTCATCTTTGGGATAAAAGAATACTATTGTGGGTCGACTTCCGATAAAGGAACCCAAATTCACATTCTCGCCATCTTGGTTTTGGAGGACGACGTCTGCCGGTGCTGGCTTGTTCAACAAGTTGTGTGGCATTATATTCTGTAAAGAGTAACTAGATTTATTTTAAACTTGAGATCGGAGTGGTTTTCTTTTTCTTTTAATATTAATGTTGTTTACTGGTTTTCCGAAAATAGGAGGAACGGGGGTAAAAGCAAAAAGTGGTGGGAACATTTAATATATATGTGTTAGCCATCAATACCATCTGACAAATCAATACATCCATGAAACAAATTTTAATGAAACATCCGGAAATTTCAATATCCCTTAATATTAAATACTACGATCATGTAACACATGAAACAAAAGAAGTAGTCGTTCTCTGGTAAGTTTCAACAAAGAAGGAATCCCTTTTTCCAATGATCGAGTAAATCAGGCATGTCTTGGAAAATAGCAATATACATACATAACACACATAACATATGCCCGCCTTGGGGAAAACCATCTCCTAATATGGTTGGTAAACGAAAGACGACGTAATGTTTTGTACGTATTTGTAACACTTGCGGTAATGAAAAAGTCTGCGGATAATCGTTCTTGTCTGACATGGATTTAAATGCTTGTCGACTATTCGTCGAGCGAAAATCATATGGTTAAATGCAAATGTAAATGACATTCTGTTTATTTTCAATGTACAGTCAATGATGATAATTGAACAACCATAATAATCATCAAATGTATGTTATATATTATTAAGATTTTTTGATGATCGACCAGCGAACGTTATAAGATAATAATTATATTAAAATTTATACTAAAATGAATAAACGTAAACCCCGTTATTACTAAATTGAACGAATACTCTAATCAAATAAATAGAAATGATCGCAAGTCAATGAACACACATCTTTTCTTTTAATAATAAATTAAAAAATTTTTTAAACTCGTTACTTCGTCGATTCGTCCCTGATATGCATCGAAGATGCAAACGCATTTGTTAGCTCGTTTTCATTGGGACCAAGATTGAATTGATTGAGAGACAAGCTAGTGCGCGATGATGACGCCGAGTCTAGTAAATATATTGATGATACACGTGACAATGGTGAAGATTTGTAGGCGCCAGTAGTTATGAGTTCATCCATTGCTTTCTCACAGAATGCTTTGATTGCTTCCTCAAGCTGGAAAAGCGAGAAAAAAAAATGCGTTAGAATACTGCGAAAATTTGGTCATAAAATTCCTTCCATGCGAGCTAGCTTGTAAGCATGTACATTTACACTTACATGAACTCGTCCAATATCTGTCATCTTGACGATTGCTAACGTATCAAATGCTTCAAATTTTATATCAAATCGAAATTTACAAGCGCTAATGATGGGAAAAGCTTGCTGTTAGTGATGGTTTCTAGAAATTTCTGTTCCCGTTCCTATAAACGTTTCGCAAACACTCACGCGGCAAAAAACTTTAAATTCTCGGAAGCACGATAAGTTCGTGAGGTATCGTCATGAATCTTTTCGATGAATCCAAATGGTCTTTTCGATCTTCGTACAACAGTGTTGTAAATGTTACAAAGTAATTTGCCATCTCTAAGATGAATTAAATTACAGCGCGGATTAATTACAATACAATGATGAGAAACTATTAATGCATTAGGTGTAACACTTACGATAAAGCGGCCAAAAACTCAGTCTTGTCAGTGCGAGGATCAGGAAGTGGAGTATAATTCGGCAGGTGCTTGGATTTGGATGGGCGATGTGCTTCGAGGAAAGAATGATATCGACCTACAAAGAGAACAAAGCCGTGTTAACAAAGAATCAACAAAAAGAAAAAAAAAACCAACATTAGCTAACAACCGCCCTTACCAACGCTCTCATCTTTAAACAATTCTGGATTGACCCAATCCCAAGACTGATATCCAGGCGACGCAGGCGGAGTCAAAGTAGCAATACCGCTGTCTCTCTTCTCCTCATTCGCTAGTCCACCTTCAGCATACGCCGTTTCCTCATCATGATTGAACAACAAGTATTCTTCCACCACCTTTAAATATTTTCTCAAAGTTTGCCGTTCTGTATCCAGTGATCTATAATATGACTCTTTATAGATATGCCCGTCTTCCGAACTGCTGTCATCTTCTTCCCGATAAGTTTTCTCTATTTTATCGAGCATATCTAACACATCCAAAGTAGCTGCTCTGATCTTACTCAGTGATTCAGGTGATAGGTCTTCTTTATGCATCGAATAGTTCTTGACAGATTGGATGGCCTTTGTTGTAGTCTCCATGACGGCGAGAATGTCAACAAGCACCGATTCCTCGTCTTCCTGCGCATCGCCAGTGACTATATGCCATGCGTTAAGCATTTCGTGGATGTCAATGTGGCATTGGGCAAGGAGCACTTCGGGATCTGTTTCGACATCGAGTTTGGTGGTTAAGAATGCTGGAAGCGGAGGTGGCGATGGAGGCAGAGGGGTCGGAGGAAAGTCTTCGGGTTCTTCGGTCACTTGCAGTAAATCTGTTACGTTTATTTGTAAAATATTCTCTGCGCTGTGAAATGGGGAAACAAGTATGAATTAGACTTGTAGAAAAACGATTGAGGTGAACAAGGCTTGATTCCAAATGTATGTACTGTGTCATCATCTATTTGAAATTCTGTTTTTTTTTTGTTTTTTGCCTTGCTCTCCTGGGCCATTATATTTAATAGATCCGAGACTAATTCTATTAGGCTTACTCTTTATTTTTTTCGCACCCTATTATTTCATTACTCTTCTCTTTCGCTAATGCACGTAAATTAACTCTCCCCCCTCTACTTACTGTTGCTTTAGTTTCTTTGGTTGTATGATAATTCCTTTTTTTGCATAGAAATGCTGCAAGTGGGTTATGCTTCCCAAAGCCAAAACGCTCTGTCTTTTCTTTGCGCTAGTGGCAAAGTCTCGTGGTTTCGAAGGTTTCTTATAAAATCTACGTGGTGTAGGTGAACCCGGTGAAGCTATTGTAAAAGTTCTACTTATTGCATTTCCCTCGGGGTCAATCTCTGTGTATTGGGGGGGCCCTAATATTGGAAGAGAGGTTGGTCTTGGTTTACTTTCTTGTTTTCCGGTGCTCATTGTAGAATCGAGCGGGGTGAGAAGAGTATTTTAATTGTGGTTGAGAATAAAAGTGTCAAATGGTTAAAGTTGCGAATTGTAGTGCGTGGTTTGTTTTTTTCTGCAAAGGTTAGGGGAGCGACTACAATATAGATAAAGTGGGTCTTTTTTTGTGATTATTTCCCGATTGAATTATTTTGGTCGAAAATTCAGGAAACTTTTTGTGGAAGGGCCAGTAGGAAATAAAAGGACTCGGAGTGAATGCGTAAGGAATAAACCCATTGGACAGATATTATAAATAGATGCTTTCTAACATTATTGATGGGCATGGTTGGTTCGTTTGAGAGTTGGCATGCGTAACGAGCAATCCGTGTTGCGGATGAGTATGGGAAATTCAGAGTTGGAGAAACACAACATATTGGGACAGTTTTGCTGTTTCGTGAACTATTACAAAAATGGTGTGTATACAATAAAGAAGTGCAGCTACTGGTGAATGGACTATTCCATTTGTTTATGGTCCATGGAGAAATATGTGGCAAGTCCGAATGTATGCACAATGAGGGCAGTATGGTGGTAGTAGATGGATATTAATGTTTAATAGTTCTGATCAACGCAAACAATGGTAACAGTATTATTATGCAATTATAATTTAATATTAATATTAACTAATATTTGAAATCGAATATTAAAAAAAGTCGTTTACCGTAAATGTGTTGTATGGCTATCACGTGATAATTACCGCA